CTCGACGCGCTCGAATTCGAGGCGCGCGGCTTCGAGGAGGCGGTCGGCCTCGACGCGCGCGGCTTCGACGCGCTCGGCCTTGACGCGCTCGGCTTCGAGGCGCGCGGCTTCCAGGCGCTCGGCCTCGAGGCGCGCGGCTTCCAGGCGCTCGGCTTCGACGCGCTCGGCTTCGAGGCGCGCGGCTTCGACGCGCTCGGCTTCGAGGCGCTGGGCTTCGAGGCGCGCGAGCTCGACGCGCACGGCCTCGACGCGCGCGGCCTCGAGGCGAGCGGCCTCGACGCGCTCAGCTTCGAGGCGCGCGGCTTCGAGGCGAGCAGCTTCGAGGCGAGCGGCTTTGAGGCGTTTCCGCGCTCCGAGGCGTGCGGCCTTGACGCGCTCGGCCTCGACGCGCTCGGCCTCGACGCGTGCGGCCTCGAGGCGGGCGGCCTCGACGCGCTCAGCTTCGAGGCGCGCGGCTTCGAGGCGCGCGGCTTCGAGACGCTCGGCCTCGACGCGCTCGGCCTCGACGCGCTCGGCCTCGACGCGCTCGGCTTCGAGGCGCGCGGCTTCGAGGCGCTCGGCTTCGAGACGCTCGGCTTCGAGGCGCGCGGCTTCGAGACGCTCGGCCTCGAGGCGCAAAGCCTCGAGGCGCGCGGCCTCGACGCGCTCAGCTTCGAGGCGCGCGGCTTCCAGTCGCTCGGCTTCGAGGCGCGCGGCTTCGAGGCGCGTGGCCTCGGCGCGCTCGGCCTCGACGCGCGCGGCTTCGACGCGCTCGGCTTCGAGGCGCAAAGCCTCGACGCGCTCGGCCTCGACGCGCTTGGCTTCAAGGCGCGCGGCTTCGACGCGCTCGGCCTCGACGCGCGCGGCTTCGAGGCGCGCGGCTTCGAGGCGATTGGCCTCCTCGAGCCGCGCCGCCTCTGCCTCTTCCTTCTTGCGAGCCGCGTTCGCCTCGGCCTCAGCCCGCCGCGCCGCCAAGTCCTTGGCTCGTCGCGCGATCTCCGCGGCCTCCTGGGCCTGCTTCGCCGCGAGCGCCGCGGCCTGCTCCTGTTCGGCCTTGATGCGCGCGATCTCCTCCGCCGCCTCGCGCGCCTCCGCTTCGGCTTTCGCCGCCGACAGCTCCTCGGCTCGTCGCGTTTCCGCGGTAGCCCGCGCTTCCTCAGCGACGCGCAGCCGCTCGAGGCTCGCGACGGACGCCGCGGTCCAGGCGGCTTCGCGCTCCGCCTGCTCGGCCCACTTGCTATCCAGGACGCGCTGGCCCTCTGCTTGGAGCGCGCGCCTCCTTTCCGCGACCGGGAGGCTCGCCTCCTGCTCGGTCTTGAGCTGCGGCGCTTCCGCCTCGGCGACGCGCGGCAGCTCGAGGCTGGTTTCCGGAGCCGCGACCCGGGCGGCTTCGCGCTCGGCCTGCGTGCTTTCGACGACGCGCTGACCCTCCGCCTTGAGCGATCGCGTGTCGATCCCGGCCGGGAGAGGCGCCTCCTGCTCCGTCGTGACGGCTCCCGCCTCGGCGACGCGCAGCCAGTCGGGGCCGGACGCGGCGCCCGCGGACTTGAAGTCGCGGTCCTTGCCCTTGAACGCGCCCGCCGTGGACGCGAAGTGGTCCATGTTGCCGGAGGCAGCCTTTGCCGGGGCGGCCGCGGCGGAGGCCGCGGAAGACGCCGCC